TAGAAAAGTTTATTTATTAAGGTAAAATTATCCCCAAAACAGTCACTGGAGATCTAAATTGTCTTTAGTAATGCTATTCCAACAACTTAAAAATGAGAATGTTATGAGACCAAAATGCTCATTCACATAAGTGGGAGTCACAAAGGGGAACTCTTGCTCTTTTTTTTTTTTTTTTAATTTTATCTTGATTTGGGTGAAGATTTACAGAGTAAATTCACTTTTCATACAGCAGTTCACATATACTTTGTCTCATGTCATTGACCAAAATTTACAATGCAACAGCTCCCCTCCCACTTCCTCCCCATAGTTACCTCATCCCAGTGTCCATCCCTCCATACTCTTCTGCGCCCTGAGCTGTCTCCCTGTGCATAAGCAGCCCTTCCTTCTCCCATGATTGTTCTCTCCAGGGTGTGTGTCTACTTGAGGTAAATGTTTAACTCACTTGCCTGTTCTTTGTTTGGCTGGAAACCACAGGTGTGGGTTCAATTCCAGACCTGACAGGCAGCTAGTGGCTCTAGTCTCAGTGGTTTCACCAGGCTCTATTGGACCAGCAAACCTGGTCCCCACCTTCTTTTTTTTTTTTTTGCCTCCAAATGATTTTGAGTTTTGTTCCACATTGTTCTCCCTCTCTATGCAGGATCTCGTACATCCCTTCCAAGTGGATGACAGTGGTAGCCGGGCACCATCTAGTTCTTCTGGTCTCATAGTTGTATAGGTTGCAGATCAGATGGTGTACCAGTCGCTAGGACTGATTGTTTCCATTCATTTGGTTTTCTTCTTTCTTCTTGACGAGGAGACACCCATTGTTGCATCTAGATGGCAGCTTGCTAGCTTTTAAGATCCCAGTTGCTACTCGCCAAAGTAGGAGGTGGAACAATGTTTTGTATAGTATGTTATGCCAATTGAGCTTGATGTCCCCTGCGACTATGGTCCCAAGCCCTCAGGATCAACTACTCGGTCCCTCTGGGTAGCTGGCTGTGACCAAGCAATGACCATAACCTTGACCCTTGTCAGCTCTACTATACACCTGGGAATTCTGATCACTCACATAAACTTATAGGACCATTGTCTGCCAACCCTATATATGATCTTGGATACACTCCCCATTTAGACATACCTAATTGTTTAGCCTGTCCACCTATCTATCCGTCCATATACCCATTTGCCTTCACTGACAACTCAGTACTGTATATGCCAAAGGGTTCATATTTGTTGTCTGTACTTCCCATGTACCTCTCTATGTCTTTCTCATCCTCAATGCTGCCATATTGGTCACTCACATTTGGTACATTGCCCTTCTCTTCACCCAAATCAATATTTATCACTATCTATCTAACAGCGTTCCCTCCCCTCCCCTCCCACCCCTAGTAACCAACAAAGAAAATTTCCTCCAATAGATAAACCTTTCCTTAACTTTTACAATAATGGACTTATACAATATTTGTCCTTTTGTGACTGACTTATTTCGCTCAGCATAGTGTCCTCCAAGTTCATCCACGTTATGCGGTGTTTTGCAGATTCTACATTATTCTTTAGCGTTGCATAGTATTCCATTGTGTGTATGTATCATAGTTTGGTTATCCATTCCTCAGTTGATGGACATCTAGGTTGTTTCCATGTTTTGGCTATTGTAAATAGTGCTGCGATGAACATTGGTGTGCATATATCTGTTCTTGTCATGGCTCTCACTTCTCTGGAACTCTTGCTCTTAAATTTGGCATTACTTGTTGAAGAAAGAAAAGCTAAATGTGCACTGAAAATAAAAGCAGAACACTATTTTTGATTGTCTCAGATGTAACAAGCCATGCAGAAACTGCTTTTGTTTCTTAGTCACAAAAACCTAGAGTGGAAAGTCATGGGATTTAGACAATGTTTTGCTTGGACCAATGTATACCTTCATTGCACAAGTGTTTGCTTGCTTGTGTCAGACAGCCTAGTGCTGGCTCATCTTATGACCACCTTATCCTGCCATGTGTATTTTTAACATGTATGATGAACATGGCCATACTCTAATAGTTTTTATTGCTCAAGCCATGGCCAAATTTTTCAGCTTATAATGACCCAGAGCTCTTTGAAAGCAGAATTACCTCTACAGCTGACAAAGCTTGAAGGAGTAAAATATTTGTCTGCCTGACAAAATTGTGCACCAATCCTAGCACAAATGAAAGAGAAAAGAAACCTGGACCAAAAAAAAAGAAAGAAAGAAAAGAAAATAGAAAGTGAAAGCAATTCTCAATAAAGCTCAGTGAACTCTACACAAAGAGAATGGAGTTTGGATCCAAGAGTGGACTCACATGAAGCAACTCCTGAGTAGGTCCCAGAAAGTGGCAATCTAAGAGGCTCCTGTGGGCACCAGAGCCAGAGCTCCTGAACCTCCTGGGGCTCACTCTAGAAGTTTGTTTCAGATTCCACTTCTGACACCAAAAAATGTTGATGAGAGAAAATTACATAGTCTGATTGAAATGAAGAATGAAAAAGCTTTTATTCTGAGGCAACTCTATTTGCAAATTGGGACTCACAAGGTCCAGAGGATTCTGAACCAAGTTATTTGAGGAATTGACAGTTCAGGGAATTTTTATAATAAAATATCAGCATCAATAAAAATTCAGTAATTGGTTTATATCTAGGTAATGTTTACAAAATTGAGTGAGGATACATCGGATTGGTACGAGAATAAAAGGAACTTTAATAAAAATTCAATGAATGGCTGACATTTAGGTAAGGGTTACAAAATTGCATGCATCTGGTCTTGAAACAATCATGAGACCCTCCTTGCATGACCACAGGGAGGACATGTGTAATTCTAAGATTTATCTTGAATAAGCATTTGTTCTGAGAATTGCTTTGTACCTGGTATCCTGAATAGGTTATATTCTTAACCAAGCAAAACCCTTAAGCAAACAAAATCCCATTGTTCTCTAAAACTGTTTTTACCAAGTAATTTTTTTCAGGGTACAGTGGAATGTTACAGGAATGGCAAGCTGCATTCCTTGATGCAGAATTTACTTTTGATTCAAACTGGAGTTTTTGGCCTCAGTCCTTAGCATACCCACCATCTCATGTTGGGAGCCTTAAGTTAATTTCTTCTCAGCACAATAATAGACTTGAAAATATTTTGTTTTAGAGTCACACATTTTATTACAAATTTATTTTATTTTGTACTTAATAGAAAAGCAAGTTTGGGATCTATTTACAGGTACTGTACATTTACATATATTATATACAATTAATGAACTTAAAGGAAAAGGACAGAGAAATGCAATACATATGGAAGCATATACCACTGTACATGGTTTCATATCATGGTCCTTAATGTTATTGAATCTTTACTGTAGTAATAAATACAATTCTATATTTACAAATCTTATAAAACATCTCATAAATGTATATCATTTCAACTCCAAGTTAAAACATCTGATCAAAATAAACATGCTTATATAAAAATAAATCTACCTAATAGGCTTTTGGTTTGGATGTATTGAAGCTAATATAGGATAATAGAAGCTACAAAATAATTCTTCAACTTTTTAACATTTCATTATTTTGCCTTTTGAAATACTTAACACATGTATTAAATATGGAATAAGCAGAGAAGTAATGATCCTAACCTCAAGTGGACTGATCCACAAAGAACACAAGTAAAACCAAGCTAAATAAACTGGATAGTATGATACCAAATCTCTGTTGAGTACAAAGTGGTGTCAGACATCATGGTAGAGCTACTAGAGATACACATGTAAGAAGTCATGTCAGTAAATTTACTTTATTTCTGCATTTGATCATTAGCTTAAGATGCACATTAATTTCAATTAGCTGATGAAACCTCCTTCAAAAAATGTGCTCATTAAAAAAAAAAAAAAATCCCAGGTTGCCTATAATTTCTGCCCCCTCCAAGTATGCCCATTGGTGGCAAAAGACTTTTATTCTGAGTCCTGGGTACCAAGGAGTTAAAAATGAATTAGGCAAGGCAAAACTCACCTGTGCATGATTACATTCATGGCAATTTAAGAATTTATTTTTCTTTCAAAATATTTTTAAGCAAGTTCATTCCACTGAGAGTGGATCCATCTAGTGTTGATACACAAATTCAGTATCTCTAAAAATGATCCGAGTGTGAGTGAGTTAATAATGTCTTACATTATCCATCCAAGGGCATTGCTGACCTGAAAGGATTCTGTCTGAGAAGGCCAAAAAAAAAGTCCATTTTCACTGAGTTGATTCTAACTCATAGCAACCCTATAGGATGGAGTAGAACTGCTTCATAGGATTTCCAAGGCTGCAATCTCTATGGAGGAGCTCTTGTAGCATAGTGCCTAAGTCACTTGACTGCTAACCAGAAGGCTGGTAGTTCAAACCCACCAGCCACTCCTCGGAAGGAAGGTTGGGCAATCTACTTTTGTAATGATATTGCCTTGGCAACCCAAGGAGGGCTTGCTATGAGTTGGGGCTGACTTGATGGCACATAACAACAACAACAACAACAATCTTTATGGAAAGAAACTGCCACATATTTCTCCCTTGGAGCTATTGGTGGATTTGAACATTGACCTTTGGGTTAACATCTGAGCACTTAACCACTGTGCCACCACTGCTCCCTGAGGAAAGCCAAATGAGGGTGAACACAGATCCATTTGGTCATTAAAATAAAATCTATGTCACAACTTTTACTTAGTATTATAGTCCATTTAAAACCCTTATTTTCTTGATACATCAACCATCTATTAAGGAGTTTTTGGGTTTAAATAATCCCATTTAGTAAGGAAGTGCTTGTTTTTCTTCCTTCCAAATTACCAGATTGATGCGTTTAAAGAGCATTCATTTCAAATCATGGAGACTCTTTTTGAAGAACATTGAAATTTGCTTTTTTGATCTGGACACCCTTAAATAGTGTGAATGATCTATTTCTTAGCTGAGTTAGTTATATGAGCAGCATTTCGACTTATTTAACTCTCAAGTAACAATAGATTTTCAGCATTTTATACTGAGAGATTTTATTATTAAGTTTAAACTCAGTTCTTCTTAGCTACTGCTCCTAATGTATTCAATCTCACATTTTTAGGGTAAAACCTTTTCTTTATTAATTAGAGACATGGGACAAATGCCACTGATGAAAGATGACAGCTTTCAGTCATTGGGTAAGCTGGTGATGACACGGAATTGGAAGGCAGGTCATAGGCTATGCTGGCACTGGTAAAGGTTACCAAGGCTTGGGTTGAATCACAGGACTGTTTCTCAACGTCATCCGAGTTAATAGACATGAGGCTTGGGTGTTTGGATCTTGTCCAGAAGTGGGTTTTCTTTCCTAGGTTCCCCAGATCTTCCTTAAAATGAGGATTGAAGAGGATATAGAGAAGGGGATTGAGACATGCGGGAAGTGGGATAATCACCAGAAGGATAAACTTAATTACTTCAGGACTGATAAATGTGAGGTTTAGTAAAGAGGAGAAGGACAAAAAGGCCACAGGGCAGTAAAGGATACAGTTGGTGAAGAGCAACAGAGCAATGTGCTTCACCATTGAACAGTCCCAAATATTCTCCAGGTCTCCCTTTTCCAAATTGCAGTAGAGCTTGGTGTAGACAATAGTCATCATGAGGAAGCAAAGGGAGTTGAGTAAGACCAGAGCGACCATGTAGCCAGTGGTACTGGGCTCCCCAAAGGGCAGTGGCAGGCAGAGTGGGGAGGCACTGTACTCACTGCTGCCCAGCAGGGGCACAGTGGCAATGGTCAAGGCCAGCAGTGTGCAAAGCAAAATGAGTGCTTTCAGACTAGAAAAGGGAGTTTTTGTTTCAAATTTTGCAGAACATTTCACAGAGAAGCCACGCTCCAGGGCTGCCAGAGTAAGCAGGAAAACTGACGACTCTGAAGCAAAAATGGACAGAAAACCAATGACATGGCAACCGACCCCCTTCTCCCACCAGGCACCATATCGTGCAAAGCTGCCAAAAGTGAATGCATCCACGCCAGCCAGCACAGCACTGGAGACCCCCATGAGCATGTTCACCACTGCTATCAACCCAATTAGCAGTTTTATGGAGGAAATATAAAGAGGGGATCGGAACACAGTTGAAGTCACCAAGGCATTGCAAGTAAGTCCCAAAACTGCTATGGTCCATACTCCAATTCGGATTAGCCAGCTACCAAATAGATGTTCACAGGGCTTGAAGGCACCTAAAAGTTCCATGAAGAAAAAGACTGTATTAAATTAGGTTTTATAATTTTGCCAAATTATCTTTTTGTTTCTCTTATTGGGACACCAGGAGATAAAGGCCAATAAAATCTGTAGTACAATATAGCACTCATGAGACACTTTTCATTTTCTCCAATGACTGTTGTTATTGATTAGTATCTTCTGCACAACTGATGGGAGAGCATACACCAAAGGCTTATATTTCCAGGGTATACATGGAGAAATGGAAACAGACAATTTAAAGTGCATGAGTAATATCCCCAAAATATAGTGTCAGGGCCAAAATGCAGATCCTCTGAACTTTTCATATAACTTTTAGAATGCTTCAAGAATGTTCCATAGATACAGAAAGAAAATCCCAGGTAAATGCTCCATAATATTAGAAAAGGAAGTATGGGTAGTACAGAAGTATATTTGGTGAAAATCTCTTCTCAGTTACAGATGGACATTTGATATTTGGGAGCAGGGAACAAACTAAATATCAATAAACCTATTGCTGAATAGTCAGTCTGACCTGGGCTTTGAATTAGTTCAACCCCTTGCTAAGAATCTACATTTTCATCCCAGTAAAAATGCAAATTGCTAGCAAGTGGTTGAACTGGAATGAACCAGTTCAAAGGTCTGATTTGAGTCTTTGTTCTATAGGGTTTTCTTGGCTGTAATGTTTTTGGAAGCATACCACCAAGACTTTTTTCCACAGTGCCCCTGGGTGGGTTCAAACCATAAACCTTTATGTTAGTAAATCAAAACACCTACTGCCAGTGAGTCAATTCCAACTCACAAAGACCCCTATAGCATTTGCAAGGCTGTAAATCTTTACAGAAGCAGAATGCCTTGTCTTTCTCCTATGGAGCAGCTGGTGGGTTTGAACCACTGACCTTGGGTTTGTAGCCCAATGCCTTAGCCACAGCATTACCAGAGCTCCTTTATGTTAGTAGTTGACCTCAAACTGTTTATGCCAACCATGGACCTTCAACCCTTCCCAGTGACCTTTTATTCAATTTGCTTGTCCTACTTCTGGGAGTGGGGTAAAGAATTAAACAAATTCAATATCTTCTGTGTGTGTGTGTGTGTGTGTGTGTGTGGTAAATGTATTTGTAACAAAACATTTGTCATTTCAACAATCTTCAGATTGTTCAGTGACATTAATGATGTTTAATATGTTCAACCTTAATATCCTTTTTTGTTTTTATCTGTATAAACCATTATTTGCTTTAACCAAATGGATATTTATTTAGAAGACTTAAAATAAATCACTTCTTAAAGATCAGTGATTATGCAAAGAAAGACTATCACATATTATTTCAGGGTAAATTGCCAATAACTTCATAAATATTACATGTATTTCTAACTACATACTTGTTTCTTTGGTTACCATTAACCTGAATCAAAATTTTCCCACAGTAATCCTATTTATGAATGGAGACTATCTCCAGGGAATGAATATATCTATTTTACAAGTTACCATGGGTAGGGGTACTGAAGAACCACAAAGTAGTTCAACTTTGCTTTAAAGTGTCACTGTGATGCTATTGATGGTCCTGGAATCCATGATAGATACTGCTGCTAAGGCAATTTTGATGCCTTTCTTACCTGGGGAAGGTGAACACTGTGCTGAATGAAGGGCTTTCAAGTCTTCCTCAAAGTCAAACAAGAAGTCTTCAAGGTCACGCTCATCTATAGGAATGAGAAGTCTCCGAATGATTAGTTCTCTTTTCAGAGGGACTAAGTCCCAGAAGAGGCCTGGATTGCCCTTGAGACATGAACAGTAGTCACGACAGAAGGCCGGACTTCCTGCTTTTCCCCGGATTCTGGCTTTTTCTAATGTCTATTACGAAGTAGCCTTTTGATGTTCTACTCAAACTATTATGTGACATTCTATTCCAGCAGAACTGGAGGTGAGGGGCAGTGACCCCAAGCTCCAGGTCATCACATCTAATCTCTCTCATTCTGTCTTGAGCCTTGGAGCTCACAATGACCCAAAATGAACTGGCCTACATTAAAGGGAGTCTGTGGGCCTTTCCATACAATGGAGAACATGTTTTATCCAATTTTCTGACACTTTAGGTAGTCAGATGTTCTGTGTTTTGTTCTCTGAGCACAAGATGCAGAATCAAGTAAAGTAAACACCAGTTTTTCCTGAGGAATTCTGCATAATAGAGGACAAATCAAGTAACTTCATGGTGCCTTTGTTAGCTATTCATTATTTGGGAGTTTCATGACCTAACATACTTACTTTCCTAAAGATTTTGATGTAATTGCTCTGGTGTGAGGCTCGAGCACCAGTATTATTAAATACTTCCATGTGATTCTAATATGTGGCCTGATGTTGAGAATCCTGGCTCTTAAATATAAGGTCCATGAAGGTCCTTGATGTTCACTGTATAACCCTCAAGGCCTGGAACAGTGTTTGGCACATAGTAGGCACTCCAATTTTTTGTTTTTTTGTTTTTCTTTGTAATGAACAAGTGTAGTAGAAATGGTGGGTGTGAAACAGGAAGAGTAAAAACTAAAGCAAAAACAAGAGGAAGGGCAAAATGTCAGCTTCTTAAATGGATATATGTAAAGGAAGAAATGTTAGGTGACCTGTAGACAGACTGAATCACATTTACTTAGGAATTGACAAATCATCACAGCCCAAAGGTTGAAAAGCAAGTCTTTTAGACCCTGTGCAAACTTGCAAGGTTGGCAGGGAAAGGAGAGGGGGCTGCCAGCGTGCCTCCTCGTTACCACAGGTGTGGTTTGAGGTGCATTGCCGTCTATTTAAGTAATGTCTTACTTCAAGGAAAGCCAAGTGTTTTACAGACATTATCTCATTTCACCTTCCTGACAGATGCCCCTGTGGGGGGTGAGAGGGGAGCTTGTTTTTGAATTAGTTGAATAAGAAGTTGGATTCTTAAGCCCATCTGCTGAAATAGAGAGACATCTAAGATGCCTGTATCTTCCACTACCTCAGGACATAAGAATAAAAATGAGTTTTATCTTCTGCAGAACAAAGTTCAGAAATATATTTAAAAATGGTATCCACTGAAAGGGGCTCTTTTAAATGTTTATGGAAATATTTGATAACAGTATTAATATCTCACCTCTGAGAACAAGAAAGATTTAAAGCTAAATATGAATATTAAAAACTCACAAAAAAGTTTTAGAATGAATCCTGAGGGAGCTTTCTCTTTCTCTGGGGGTCTCTAAAAAATGGAATTAATTCTCAGCTTGCTAGGATGGTTACAAAGAGATTTGTCTGGAGTTCAGATGATGTGTCTGGTGACTTTTCAGAATCTTTCTAGTCACAGTTCCATTTCCATGACATAGAAGGTCTTACCTGGCACATGAAACAGTCCAGCATCTTTCTTATGAAGGTCGTCTATAGTACTGTTGTCACCTTTGTTCCATTGATTAGAAATTTTATAGACATTCTCACATATTCGAAATGCACAGCACTGGTAAGCATAAGGCATTTCTATAACCCTTTAAATAAACAAAAACAAAACAAAAAACACACACTTAGAGACATGGGACATTAAATATATCTTCTTTGACCTAATAATTTCTACCTTTGGATTATAGCCTAATAAATAATCTAAAACATAAATTACATGCATAAAGATGTTCACTATTGTGCTATTTATAGTAAAAATAGACTTATTTTAAATGATTGCTATGAAATGTTGATAATTGTTCAAGTTATATTATGGGTATACTATTTTCTGTACTTTTGTGTATGTTTGACAATTTCCATAGTAAAAGGGTTAAATAATGATTGCTAAGAAAATTATAGTAACATAGGAAGTGTTTATGACATAATTTCAAGTGTATAACACTGGTTACTCTGGGATTCCAACAATTAAAATACACTGGAAAAAAGTCTGGAAAAAAATAGCATAAAAAAGTTGTTTTTAGGGACATTTTAAGATTTTTTTTTACTCTCTTCAACTGTCTAAACTTTCTTTTAAGGCTATATATTTTTCATGGTTTTAAAAGTAAATGAAAAGTACTATGTCTTTTTAAAAAACAATCTTTCAAGGGAGTTCTTTATCAAAAATAAGCGTAACAGGTTTTAAAGAGCATCATTTCCTCAAACAATCAACTTAGTACGTTTTATTAGAACATACACACCACCTAGATGAATTAGAAATTGCAAACAGGAGTACAATAATTTTATAATTTTATTTGATTACATGCTCTTGTTTATATCCTATGGATCAATGGTTTTCAAACTCTTTCTGTGAACTCTGTGATTCTGGGAGGCATCTTTGAGAAAGAAAGGAAATGTGGTTAAGAAGATACATTTTCCCCCTTCAGGGCTTGTCCTAACAATGCCCCAGGGGTGGGGGACTTGAGGGCATGAAATGCAATTCAAAAGCGTTCCATGACCTCATAAATTCAGAAAACCACTATAACACGTCTATTATTTCACATGACCACAAATGTATCTTATTAGTTTTAATGACAAACTCACTTGAGTTCTGGAAAGTTTTCAGATGATATCAAGCTCTGTAAGGCATGATTTCCTGTTAATTTTAAGTGAGTTAAACCATGTAACCCAGTTACAGGAAAAGACGACAGGCGGTTGGACGATAGGTCCCTGCAAAACATCAAACAACAATTGGCTCTTAGTCCATGTTAGCATAAAACATTTATGTTAAAAAGCAACCTAAAGATGATTAAACTGCTCAATAAAAACTTCTAAGGAGGGTCCTTACTCTTAATGGTAATAGTAGCCATTTTGGTTTGAGCTCCTGATTAACTTTCTTATTTACAATCAGAAGTGTAGGGGAGAAGTACTTTAATTGCATTCAAATTATAATTTGTATATTCAGCTTCATTTTTCAGGGTGGGGACATCTAAAATCAAGTGGAAGGTGCTATATTTAATTTGAGAAGTGGTGTTGCCCTTAGGTTGTAGGTGGAGAAAAAAGAGGCAAGGAGTTTATTCCTTTCTTTCTCCCTTTTACTTCTCTATTGACCAACTCCTTCTTTCTCTATTAGATGAGAAGGGGGATAGAGATAAGAAGAGGAAAGCAAAAAGAAAAAGGAACAGGATGGTTTTCTATCAGTCAAGATGACAAAGAATAAAATGAAAGCCATTCAGAACTAAATTGACATCTTATTCTATTCCACCTGATTACTCAGCAAAAATGGAAAATTTCACCCAAATAACCAGAACCAGCTGTTACTCAGAACTTCGATTATCTACTTAAGGGCCCATATGGCCTTGGAGGGGAAGGGAACTCCTCTCTGGCTCTGAAGAGGCTTTAGGCATGGGGGACGTGGAGGATCTGGCAATATGTGCATGGTAGGCTTTTTCAGCAAAATCGACAATTTATTAACTAGAGGGTTCCCAGTTATTAAAAGATATGCCACAAATAAGTAATGAAGTACTCACAGTTTTATTAGAGATGGCAAAGTAGAAAATGCATTGGGGTGAATAGTAGCAATTTTGTTCCAAGCTAAATTTCTATTAACAAACAAACAAACAAAAAAAAAAACACAAATGATAGGGTTACATATAAAAAGAAAAATGTGTGAAGTTTTGTCACATGCATTCATTTTTCTAAATTTAATTTCTATTCAGAACAGAGACAATTAGCCCATCAAATAGAGCATCCTTCAGATAATGGTATTGATGGTATAAAATAACTAGAAAAAGAACCTGAAATCAACCTTGTTGAAAACAATTTTAAAAAAATCATCATTTAGGTGAATATTTTAGTTTTTATGTTTTTCTTATAAAAATTCGACTTAAACATGGTATTAAATTTTATAAAACTTTATTTCTGCTTTTGTAAGATAAGTAGGGGTAGGAAAGAGGGAAAAGAGGAATTTCTGAGGTTCTTCCTCTGATAAGCAAATAAGTTTTAAATTATAAAATGTCCTGGATTTCAATGAAATTCAACAAGAATTTGTGCACATCCCTTATAGATGTCAAGACTTGAAACAAACACAAGTTGCTTTCAAGAAATTTCCCAGCAAATCAACATACAAAATTCAGGTGGATTTCTCTACATCAACAAGAGATCTCTGAATGAAGAAAAGGAAATGAAGAAAACAATATCATTTACAATAGCACCCCAAAAGATAAAATACTTAGGAATAAAGCTTACCAGGGACACAAAAGACCTATATAAAGACAAAACACTATTATAAGAAACCATTAGAGATCTACATAAGTGGAAGTGCATACGATGCTCATGGATACAAAGATGGAACATTATGAAAACGTCAATACTATCCAAAGGAATCTATAGATTCAATGCAATCCTGATCCAGAGTCTATCAACATTCTTTAAGGATGTGGAAAAACAAATCACTAATTTCATATAGAAAGGGAAGAGACCTTGGATAAGTAAAGCACTACTGAGCAAGAAGAACAAAGTAGGTTTCATACTCTCTGATCTCAAAACTGCCGTGGTAGTCAAAACATCCTGGTATTGGTACAACCACAGACACAGACCAATAGAACAGAATTGAGAGCCCAGATATAAATCCATCCACTTATGGACAGCTGATCTTTGACAAAGAGTCAAAAATCATTAAATAGGGAAGAGATAGCTCTTTAACAAATAATGCTGGCAAAACTGAATATTCATTTGCAGAAAAAAAAAATTCATACCTCATATCACACACGAAAACTAACTCAGGATGGATCAAAGACCTAAATGTAAAACCTAAAACTAAAAAGTTCATCAAAGATAAATAAGGGCAAACTGTAGGGTCTTAATTTATGGCATAAATAGACTAGCAAGCATAACCAAAAACACACAAACAACAGAAAATAAACTAGATGATTGGGACATTCTAAAAATTAAATTCTTATGCACATCAAAAAGAGAACCTACAGATTGGGGAAAAAAATATTTGGCAACAGTGTATCTCACAAGGGACTTATCTCTAAACTTCATAGAAAACTTCAACACCTCAACACCAAAAAGACAAACAATCCAATTGAAAAATGTGCAGAGGATGTGAGCAGATACTTCACCAAAAAAAGATATTCAGGCAGTCAACAAACACATGAAGAAATGCTGATGATCATTAGTCATTAGAGAGATGTAAATCAAAACAACAAGATATCATCTTACCCCAGCAATAATAGCAAAGTTCAACAAGATAGAAAACAACAAATGCTGGTGAGGGTGTGGAGAGATTGGGAGTCTCATACACTGCTGGCAGGCCTGTAAAATGGTACCACAATGGAAAACGTTATGGTACATCTTTGAAAAACTGGAAATAGAAATACCATTTGATCCAGCCATCCTACTATTAGGTATATATCCTCAAGAAATGAAGGCCAGGGCATGAAGAGATATATGGACACACATTTTCATCGCAGCACCATTCACAGTAGCAAAGAGATGGAAACAACTTAAATATCCATCAATGGATAAATGGATATCCAAACTATGGTACATACACATAATGTAATACTATGCAATGTTAAAGAATAATGAAGAATCCACAAAACACCTAATGTTGTTGTTGTTGTGTGGTGCCGTTGAGTTGGCTCCGACTCGTAGTGAACGACCCTATGTAGAACTGAACAAAACGCTGCCACGTCCTGCGCCAGCCTCACAATCATTGCTATACCTGAGCCCATTGTTGCAGCTACTATGTCAATCCATTTCATTGAGGGCTTTCCTCTTTTTCAGTAATGCTCCACCTTACCAAGCATGATATCTTTCTCTAGGGAATGGTCCCTTCTGAAAAAATGACCAAAGTAGGTAAGGTGAAGTCTGGCCATTTCTGCTTCCAAGGAGCGTTCCGGCTGCACTTCATCTAGGAGAGATTTATTAGTTCTTCTGGCAGTCCATGGTACTTTCAGTACTCTTTGCTAACACAACAACTCAAAAGCATCAACTCTTCTTTGGTCTTCCTTATTCATTGTCCAGCTTTCACATGCATATGAGGCTATTGAAAATACCATGGCTTGAGTTAGGTGCACCTAAGTCTTCAAAGAGACATCTTGTTCTTCAGCACTTTGAAGGGGTCTTTTGAGGCAGATTAGCCCAGTGCAATACGTCATCTGATTTCTTGACTGCTGCTTCCATTGGTGTTGATTGTGGAACCTAGTAATATGAAATCTTTGACAACTTCAATCTTTTCTCCATTTATTGTGATGCTGCTTTTGGGTCCAGCTGTGAGGATTTTCGTTTTCTTTATGTTAAGATGTAATCCATACTGCAAACTGTAGTCTTTAATCTTCATCAGGAAATATTCAAGTTATCTTAATTTTCAGCAACCAAAGTTGTGTCATCTGCATATTGCAAGTTGTTAATGAGACTTCCTCCAGTCCTGATGCTGTGTTCTTCTTCACATAATTCAGCTGCTCAGATTTATTTTCTCAGCATACATATTGAATAAGTATGGCTAAAAGATACAACCCTGACACACTCCCTTCCTGATTTTAAACCACGTGGTATCCTCTTATTCTGTTTGAACGACAGCCTCCTGGTCTTTGTATAGATTCTCATGAGCATAATTAAGTGTTCTGGAAGCCCCACTCTTCTCAATGTTATATATAATTTGTTATGATCTGCACAATCGAATGTTTTGCACAGTCAATAAAACACAAGTAAACATCTTTCTGGTATTCTTTGATGTCAGCCATGATCCATCTGACATCAGCAATGATATCCCTTGTTCCGTGTCCTCTTCTGAATCCAGCTTGCATTTCTGGAAGTGCTCTATCAATATACTGCTGCAACTATTTTTGAATTATCTTCAGCAAGGTTTTACTTGCATGTGATGTTAATGATATTGTTTGATAATTTCCACATTTTGTGGAATAACTTGTTTGGAATGGGCACAAATATGAATCTCTTCCAGTCAGTTAGCCAGGTACTTGTCTGCCAAATTTCTTGGCATAGATGATTAACTGCCTCCAGTGCAGCATCCATTTGCTGAAATACTTCAACGGGTATCCTGTCAAATCCTGGAGTCTTGTTTTTCTCCAATTCCTTCAGTGCAGCTTTGACCTCTTTCTTCAATACCATTGGTTCTTGATCATATGCTACCTCCTGAAATGGATGAAGATCTACCAGTTCTTTTTGGTGCAGTGACTCTGTGTATTCCTTCCATCTTCTTTTGATATTTCCTGCATCATTCAGTACTTTGCCCATAGAATCTTTCAGTATTACAACCTGAGGCTTGAATTTTTTCTTCATTTCTTTCAGTTTGAGAAATGCTGAGCATGTTCTTCCCTTTTGGTTTTCTAACTCCAGGTCTGTGCCACTTCATTATAGTAATTGACTTTGTCTTCTCAAGCTGCTCTTTGAAATCTTCTGTTCAGCTCTTTTATCCCATTTATTCTTCCATTTGTTTTAGATACTCTCCATTCCAGGGCAAGTTTCAGAGTCTCTTCTGACATCCAATTTATTCTTTTCTTCCTTTCCTGTCTTTTTAATGACCTTTTGCTTTTTTCATGGATGATGTTCTTGATGTCATTCCACAATTCCTCTGGTTTTCGGTCATTGGTGTTCAACGTGTCAAATCTATTCTTCAGATGGTCTCTAAATTCAGGAGGAATATAATCAAGATCATATATTGGCTCTCATGTACTTGCATTAATTGTCTTCATCTTCAAGTTGAACTTGCATATGAGCAGTTGATGGTCTGTTCCAAAATCAGCTTCTGGCCTTGTTCTGGCTGGAGATATTGAGCTTCTCTATCACCTCTTTCCACAGAAGTAGTTGATCCGATACCTGTGTATTCTGTCTGGTGAAGTCCATGTGTATAGCTGTCATTTATGTTGTTGCAAAAAGAGATGGGCAATGAATAAGTCATTGGTTTTACAAAATTCTATCATGTGATCTCCAGTGTCATTTCTATCACCAAGGTCATTTTTTCCAACTACTGATGATTCTTCTTTGTTTCCAACTTTTGCATTCCAATCACCAGTGATACTTAACATATCTTGATTGCATGTTTAGTCAATTTCAGACTGCAGAAGTTGGTAAAAACTTCAATTTCCTTGTTTTGGCTTTGATGGTTAGTGCATAAATTTGAATAATTGAATATTGAAATATTAATTGGTCTTTTTTTCAGGCATATGGATATTATCCTATTACTGACAGCATTGTACTTTAGGATAGATCTTGAAACATTTTTTGTGATGATGAATTCCACGCCATTCCTCTTCAATTAGTCCTTCCCACCATAGTAGATCATATGGTTGTCTGATTCAAAATGGCCAAAACCAGTCCATCTCAGCTTGCCAATGCCTAGTATATTAATAAATTGTGGGACCTCTGGTGGTGTGATGTCTAAGGCATTTGACTGTTAACCAGAAGGCTCCAGCCACTTCTCAGAAGGAAGACTGAGCAATCTATATTCATAGAGATATCGCCTCAGAAACCCAAGGAGGGGTTGCTATGAATTGGGATCGACTTGACAGCAGTGAGTTTGGTTTTGGTTTAGTTCAATTGTCCTAGATTCATTTTTTGTACATTCCATGTTCTG